GGTAAATTCTGTGATATGCATATTTCCCACTACATACACATATATAAAATTTTTATATATATATATATACACATATATATGTATACATATATATGTATACATATACACATACATACATACGTATATATACATATATATACATATATATACATATATATATATATATATATATTTAATTCAGTGTTTCAGTTGCCCTAGCCGAGTATCTCCAATGCTTAGTAGCCACAAGTGGCTGGTTGGCTACATCTTGAAATGCACAGATAGAGAACGTTTTTATCCTTGGGGAGGGTTCTATTGGATAGTGCTGACTGACGTCTGTTGACTGCTCTCCCACAGACAATAAGGTACAGTTGCATAGGTTTGTCCTGCACCAGGACGTCCTGCTGAGAAAATGAATCGATACCTAATTCCAGCCCACAATCCACCGGCCAAGCTGTGCTCCCCAGGCAGAGATCTGCACCCACCCAGAGGGGGCGCCTTTTTCTAACAGGTCGCTACCATATTGCAGTGGCGTGCTGGACGGAGCTGGGTCCAATTTCAGGAATTGTGAAGCCAGTTGTTAAACATGGCCACCGTTAAAAATTAAATGATACAAACTTACGACCAAATAAATTATATGAAAAACGAAGGCAACACATTCTTATGACTTATCACATCCCGATTCTTCTACTACATTCCACGTCGAGATGATCTGTTGTATCCGTGTGACAGAAATACCATCTGGCAGGGTCCCCCTGCACATCTCTTACCAACTCCACATTCAGTGACATCTTCTGGTGGCCTGAAATTAGTCACGGTGAGAGTATTCATACTACAGAAACGGGCAAATGTTCCAAATCAGGGCTTTTTTTTCCCCCCAGAGTGCTGGCTGTTACACGTTTACGAGCTCACCGCACGTATGGGCTGATGTGGAGGGCAGGGTCCCGCTGCCACACTGTCCCATTCCTATCATCATGTCCCAGACTCCTGCCCATGATCCAAGTCCCGTCAGCGCCCCGGGCCAGTGGCTGCGAGACATGTGCAATTCAGAGACAAGGCAGCCTAGACAGATGGGAGGCACAGGCTCTGAGACCTACACCCAAATCCCTGGAATTTTTATTTCATGGCTGTGGGACCCTGGGCAGTTAACTTAACCTCTGTTGTCTGTACAACAGGGACGATTATACCTCCCTGATAAAGCTGTGATTATTAACTGCCTGTAGTAAGCATTTAATAAACGGTAGTCTTTTTATTGATAATTCCGAGTAACACATGATGCATGGGGTCCAGGGATATACCTCCTTCCCTGCACCCTGATGCCGTGCTGGAATTCAGAAAGTTAACGTCTGGAGGAAACGAAACCACACAAAACTGGCTCCCTGGGGGTGTCTATCCCCCAAGCCACCCCTTCCACAGGCTCTGTGCTGCATAAAAAATAAAAAGTGGAGAAGGTCAGTTGCTTTCCAGTAAAGAAATAGGTTGATTATAAAACAGTATGATTCCATTTTTGTTTAAAAATATGTGTGTGTGTGTGTGTGTGTGTGTGTCGATGCCTCAGCACAGAATGAGGCTAGAAAAACTTGCTCAAATCTACCGAAAGGGGTTATGTCTGGGAGGTGGCATTTAGGGTGATTTTTCTGTTCCCTATCTGTTGGTCTCTGTTTTCAGAGATTTCTGAAGGGAACACATATTATTTGTGTGGCAGAATGAGTGGAGTGGTGAGCAGAGAAGGAAAAAAAAAAAAAGTAAGATGCCAGACAGGACATTCCAGGAGAGAGAGGACAGGGCACGGCGTGGAGATGTGCTAAAGATTAAAACCCAGGACAGCCAGGGGCGCCTGGGTGGCTCAGTCGGTTAACCGTCCAGCTCAATTTCGGTTCAGGTCGTGATCTCAAGGTTGTGGGACTGAGCCCCACGTGGGGCTTTGTGCTGACCTTGGAGCCTCTCTCTGTCTCTGTCTCTGTCTCTGTCTCTCTGCCCCTCCCCTGCTCACACTCACTCTCTCTCAAAATAAATAAATAAATAAACTTAAAAACAAAAAACAAAAAACCCAGGACATCCGAATCCGGAGAAAACCATCTGATCTGAAATAGAAAGTGGCAGGTGAGGGGCCCCCACGTCCCATGAAAGGTGTCCAGTGGGCGCCCGGCCGGAGGGCCAGAAGGAGCAGGCACCTGCCTGGTTGGTTTCCAGCCTCGGACAAGAGGTCTCCCTTGGCTTGGACTTGCTCCGACACTTCTCCGCCTTTCTCTGACCTTCAGCGTTACAGATAGCATTCTCACACCCACACTTGAACCCAGTTCCCTACTTCAGAAGGGCACAGGGGCTTGATTTTAAACAGCAAGCAAAGCTCTTTACTGGCAAAAAAGGAGAGAGCAGATGTCATGGGCTCCTGGGTCACGGAGTTGCCTGTCCCCTGCGCCTCCCGGGCTCTGGGACTCGACGCGGAACCTCAATAGGGAATACAGACTCCGGTCCCAACCTGGGTCCCTTCCAGCCTTCGCCTCCTTCCTGCTTCGAGACTCTTTCTCTATATGCCAGCTTCTCGCACACTTCACCTTCTGCCCTCCCGTGCCTTGGTCATGCTATTCCTCTCCCGGCAGTAACCTCCCTGGTGTTTTGCCTAAAAACACTTAGTCAATTCTTAAGATCCAGCTCAAATGCCACCAACACGCCTCCTCTGCTCCCAGGTCCTGGATGGCCTCCTGCTCCCGGCCTCTCTCTTCCCCCCCTCCTTCACCATACTCATCAGCACTGATGACACAACCTGTGTTAAAGCCAGCTTTCCACAATTCTGTCTCCCCACTAGCCTGGGAGCTCCCCACTAGCCTGGGAGCTACTCAAAAGCAAGGACAGATCTAATTCCTGTTTGTATCCCTAGCACAACACCGGGCACATCTTTAGGGCGAGATAAAGTCCCTCACTCATTATTCACTCATTCGATGAATATTTATGAAGCTCCAACTAGACGCCAGGCACTGAAATAGAGCAAGGAACATGATAGATATGATTTCCACCTCCTTGGAGCTTAACATCTGATTGGAAACAGGAGAGGAAAATGCAACTGAAAAATTAATCAGGTAATTATTTACAGATTAGCAGGAGCGACGGAGGAGGACTATACGCAGGGCGCTGTAGGACGGTGTAACTGGGGGGACCAAGCCGCCTTTGGGGTGAGGCAAGAGATCCCTGGGATGGTGACGCCTGCAGGACGGGATCTACAGGCGGGCGGTGCAGATGGCCACTGGAGGCAGGTGGAACGGCACTGGGGAGACCCTGCAGGAGAGGAAGACACCAGGCCCCACTGCCCAGCTATCTGCTAGCTCATCTTGCCCTCGCTCTGTATTCATCGGAGCATTCGCACACGAGAGAGGGGCTAGAAGGGGCGGGGGGCCGGGCACGAGCTTGGAGCCCTGAGGCCGGTGACAGGTTGGTGTAGGTGGGTGCTGGGTGAGGGGCAGGTGAGGGGCAGACCAGCAGGGGGAGAGCGGG